ATCTTTGCTGATATACCTCCTAGGGCAAGGGATATAAAGGAAAGAATAAACAAATGGGACTTCATCAAATTACAAAGCTTCTGCATGGCTAAAGAAAACATCAGCAAAATGAAAAGGGAACCAACCATATGGGAAAACATATTTGCCAATGATACCTCAGACAAAGGTTTGATCTCCAAAATATAAAGAACTCACATGACTCCACTCCAGGAAGACAAACAATCCAATTAACAAATGGGCAAAGGACTTGAAGAAACACTTCTCCGAGGAGGACATACAGAGGGTCCAGTGACATATGAAGAGATGCTCAGCATCACTAGCCATTAGAGAGATGCAAATTAAAACTGCAGATACCACCTCACACTGGCCAGAATGGCAATCATTAACAAATTAACAAACAAGTGCTGTTGAAGATGTGGAGAAAAGGGAACCCTAGTGCACTGTTGGTGGAAAGGCAGACTGGTGCAGACACTGTGGAAAACAGTGTGGAATTTCCTCACAAAACTAAAACCGGAACTGCATTTTGATCCAGTGATTCCACTGCTGGGATTATATGCTAAGAATCCTGAAACACCAGTTCAAAAGAACCTGTGCATCTCAATGTTCCTAGCAGCACAATTTACAATAGGCAAGAGCTGGAAGCAACCTAAGTGCCCATTAGTAAATGAGTGGATCAAAATATTGTGGTACATTTACACAATGGAATATTATACATCAGAAAGAAAGAAGGAACTCCTACCTTTTGCAACAGTGTGGATGGAACTGTAGAGTATTATGCTAAGTAAAATATGCCAAGTGGTGAAAGGCAAATGCCATATGATCTCACCTATAAGAGGAATCTAATGAACAAAACAAACAAATGAGAAAAATAGGACCAGAGGCATGGAAACAAGAACCAAACTGATAGTAACCAGAGTGGGGGAAGATAAGGGAGGAAAGAAGGGGAAGGGTCTGGTTAAAGAACAAGTATAAATGACTCATGGACATGGACAACAGGTGGGGGGTTGACATTGCAGGGAATTGGGTGGGGTAGGGGAGATTAATGGGGGAAAGTTGGGACAAGTGTAATAGAACAACAATAAAAAAATTAAGAAAGAAGAAAGAGGGAAAGAAGGAGACAGTGCAGGGAATATGATGATCCCTATCTAGTAATCTGCCCAGTGCCTATACTTTGGGAAATCTCTGCTCATTAGCAGGGATGGGCCTCCGCAGCAGCCATGTCTCCCTTTCCCATCACCTGTCTGATCATAAGTGACAGGGTGGAGGAAAGGACGCCAGGCTGGGCCAATCACATTTTCTCTCCATAGAATTTGGGAGTCAGTCAATGGGGTTGATGCAATCTGTGTGTGTGGAGGGAGGTAGCTTTACCCTGACTCGTGGACTTAGAAGCTGGGAAAACTGCTTTCTAGAGAAAAATAGAGCAGAAGTGTAGACAGAGGCAGGTGAGACCATAGAGTAAACTTCAGTTGAGTCTCTCACGGCTTTTCCACTCCTTGCTCCTGGATTCCCTGAGGGCTGACTTATTTTCACCCTTGGATTCTATAAGATGACCCTCTATCTTTATAATTAACTTTTGAACTCTATTATTGGGTGCAGAGATTACTTTCCAGTGACTTTGGATCACTGTGCCATACATTTTAAAGATTTACTTTTAAAATTTTATTTAGTCGCTGCTTCTTTTGATTCACCTGCCACTATCAGCTAGATGTACTGAGACACTGACATTTCCCATCATTCCTACTGACTGTCCCTCCATAGTGTGGCTAGACCTCTTCCCTTGTAAGTCTGCTCACAAAGTAAGTTCAAATTAGAAGCTCTTTTAAAAAAATTTAGTTAAACTAATTATATCTCAACACTAATTTACTTGCTGACAGTAGTTTGGAACACATTTTCAGAGTATTGTTTATTTAAAAACATTTTTTATCCTCACTTGAGGACATTTTTTTCCCCAGTGCTTTTAGAGAGAGAGGAAGGGAGAGAGAAAGACATTCATGTGTGAGAGAATGATTGGTTGCCTCTCATACGTGCCTGGATGGAGGATCCAACCCACAATTCAGGTTATGTGCCCTGACCAGGAATTTAGCCTGCAACCTTTTGGTTATGTGACAGTGCCCCAACCAACTGAGCCACCCCGGCCAGGGCTATACTATTGTTTAGAAGTCCATGTAATACAAACGTTCTGTAAAATATTTCTTAGGTAATGAGGTAACTGTCTTTTAAAGAGTTTTACCTGATTTTCAGGGAAGCAGAGAAAAGGATTCGTCCTAGTCTTTGTATCATGTTTCTTGTACTTCTTTACAAATTCATGTTTTTTAAAAAATTACATTTTATTGATTATGTTATTACAGTTGTCCCAATTTTTCCTTCTTTTCCCCTCTCCACCCAGCACCCCCACCCCCAGTCCCTCAGGCAATCCCCACACCACTGTTCATATCCATGGGTCATGCGTGTAAGTTCTTTGGCCACTCCATTTCCTACACTGTACTTTACACCCCTATGGCTATTCTGTAAATACCTATTGGTGCTTCTTAATTTCCTCTTCATCCATTCCCCCACAACCCCCTCCCATCTGGCAACCATCAAAATGCTCTTCATATCCATGATTCTGTCTCTGTTTTTCTCATTTTAGTTTGATTTTTAGATTCAATTGTTGATAGATATGTATTTATTCCCATTTTATTGTTCATAGTTTTGATCTTCTTTTTCTTAAATAAGTCCCTTTAACATTTCATATAATAATGGTTTGGTGATGATGAACTCCTTTAGTTTTTTCTTGTCTGGGAAACTCTTGATCTGCCTTTCAATTCTAAATGATAACTTTGCTGGGTAGAGCAATCTGCTTTTCATGACTTTGAATATTTCTTGCCCATCCCTTTTACCCTGCAAAGTTTCTTTTGAGAAATCAGTTTTATGGTATTTCTCCTATAGGTAACTAATTTCTTTTCTCTAGCTGCTTTTAAGATTCTTTCTTTATCTTTAACCTTTGGCATTTAATTATGATGTGTCTTGGAGTGGGCTTCTTTGCATCCATCTTTAGTTTGGAACTCTGTGCTTCCTGGACTTGCATGTCTACTTCCTTCACCAAATTAGGGAAGTTTTCACTATTTTTTTCAAATAGATTTCTAATTTCTTGCTCTTTCTCTTCTCCTTCTGGTACGCCTATGATGTGATTATTGGATCACTTGATGCTGTCCCAGAGGCTGCTTACACTATCCATTTTTTGGATTCTTTTTTCTTCTTGTTCTGATTGGTTGCTTTTTGTTTCGTTATGTTCCAAATCATTGATCTGATTCTTGGCTTCATCCACTTTACTGTTGTTTCCCTGTAAATTGTTCTTTATTTTCTTTATTTTAATTAGTGTATTGTTTGTTTCTGACTAGATCCTTTTTATGATGTTGAGGTCCTCACTAAGTTTCTTGACTGTCACTATAACCCGTGTTTTGAACTCTGCATCTGATAGATTGCTTATCTCCATATCATTTAGCTCTTTTTCTGAGGTTTTGTTCTGTTCTTTCATTTGGGCCATATTTTGTTGTCTCCTCATTTTGGCAGCCTCCCTGTGTTTGTTTCTATGTATTAGGTAGAACTGCTTTGACTCCCTGTCTTGGTAGTGTGGCCTTGTAGTAGGAATCCTGTAGGGTCCAGTGACACAAAATCCCCTATATTTTTTTCCTTCCTTAGGTTTGATTTTTATCAATCTCCATTTTTTTTAGTATTATTAAATTTATAGAGTTTTGTGGGGGAAGTGCTTCACTTCAAATAGTGTATTTCAGAACCTAATGGGAATAACAAAAACAAATAGTACAGAATGGTAAGACAGTTGAGTATGGTCCCCAGGTGAGATATGTTGATTTGGGTCTAGGCTGATGTGGTCTGAGAGCTTAGATTATTTTAACTATGGGTCATTGGTAATCATCTCAACTACCTTCTCCTCTCTCCTACTTTCCATTTTCAAATTGATGCATATTTTGAAGTTCTGTCACATTCCTTTGTTTCTTGTAATTCCCTGAATTAGCTGACTTTTCCAATTTATACCTTCTGAATTTCTTTCTGTAGTCTACTTTTTTTTATTAAAACTTTACTTATTTGATACTTTGGATTATAAATTCCTGTCAGGGAGGATGTATTTACAGAGTAGTGCATTTTACACTTTGTGTCAGATAAATGGTAGCTACCCAGGAAAGACTATGGGGGCACCTCAGTCATATTTGTAAAGTTTTTTTAAGAGCTGATGGAGGCTAATATCAATACATATTTTTTTGATGGTCCTCAGCTCTTGAGTATATTACTGTGTTTTCTTCTTTTGTGGAGGAATTCGTCCCCTGCATATCCTCCAAAGTTTGCCTTTACCATTCTCCTCACCTTACTCATTTTGTATTTTTAACCCCCAATTATAAAAGTAATACTTGCTTAATATGGAACACAGAAAGGCAATAAAGTCATGCATAATCTCACGAGGGTGAAAACATTTTATGCCTTCTTTTGCTTATGACAATTTACTTCTGAATCTTACGCAGCATTTAAAAAAACGCCCAGGAGACTTCTCAAAAATCTAAGTAATGTTAAAGATTCGCTGTTATTCACCAAGTTCATAGGCAAATCAAAGAATCACAGTAGGGTAAGGAAGCTCGCATCTGACAAAGGAACCTGGGTATCCGGGGATTCTTTGCAGGTAGGCTGCTGGTCTAGTAACCACAGCCTGTTCTTCAGCCACCAGGGAATCAAGCCAGTGGAGGCGGGGCTTCCGATGATTGAAATTAGGGGAGAGGAGCTACAGATCTGTCACCAATCAAGGCTCTAGTCTGTTTTCTCTAAGTGACCAATCAGAGAGTTCTTCTGCCTAGCTGTCTTCAAGTTTGCGACACCTACCCCCTATTGCGGCCTATCAGCAGGCGCCTCATACAAAGAGTTCGAGGCGCTCACGCCCCGTGGGAGGGGCGGCCTGGCCTCCGCCCCGCCCCCTCCGCTGTGGCTCCGCCTCGCTGAAGGAGGGGGCTGATTCGGTTACTCTCTGGGAGGGAGGTGTGGGTCTGGTGCCCGAGGGGCTCGTGCGTTCTTCGCCCGCGGGCTTCTGATTGTCTTTTGCTGCGGCTGCTCTTCTTGTCTGTCTTTTTGCCTGAGAGCCCCGAGCTGCAGGGGCCAGAGTGAGCGCGCCTCCCGCAGACGCTGCTGACCAGAACAGGTAATGGGGCGCTAGGGCTGCAGTGGCGATTGGAGCACCCGGCGCAGTGCTGGCGGTGGGATCTGGTCCCAAGGCTGCTCCAGCCGGCAGCGTCCGGGAGAAGTCACCAGGAGCCTCTCGCCCGCCCCCAGGCGCCTCCTTCCCTAAGCCCACGGCGGCCTCGGCACCTTGCGGAGAGGTGGGGGCGGGGCCGGGCGAGGGGAACGCGAGGGCGTGGGGTCCCGGCAGCTGCGGGCAAGACTCCTTGGGGACCTCGCAGGACTCGGGGCGCGGCGGCTGGGCCCTACGGAGGGCGGAGGGACATGCAGGTGGAGGGAAAACCGCAGAGTTGAGTCAGAATCAGGCATCCGCGGGAGAAGGACCCACTGATAGTAGCGATAAGCTGAGTGGCTTTTTTTTTTTTAAATTGAGAAAGGTGTTTGTACTTGGGTAGTGTTAATTACACAATTTTTGGAGACAAGAGCTTTTCAGTGAGATTTACACATTAACATTACTTACTTATTATCTTTTAAATTAAAAGCAGTCTTTAACGTGAACTTGTTTGAGGGTTTTTTCTCAAGTGGCAAGTAGACAGACCCAGCAGGGTGACTCACCTTTGTCTGCGCTGAAGTGGGGAGTGGCGCGATAGCAACGAGGGGGAGGAATGCTGATGGGGAATGCCTGTACAGGTTTGAAAGGATTGTGGGGGTGGGACCTCGTTTCTGTTACTCTCGTGGGTGAAAGTAGAATTATCTTCTTTCTTCTAATTTTTTAAACGGCTTTCAAATTTGTTTTTAAAAATGCTGCTTTAGAAACAGTCTCAGGGTTTTAGGTTTTAAGGATGCACCTGCTACCCATGCAGTAAAACTTTGCAGGCAAGTCCTCGGCAGTTAACTGTATGAGTCGATTTACTTATAAAGAAGCACTTTGAATTGCTCTTTTTCTTTGACGTGTTCAATAACCTTTTTCATTCACCATTCGTTCACAAGAGGAATGGTGAAGGTCACTGAGTTTTAACAGTAATGGCACAGCGAGGACTCTGGGAGCGGTGTTCTCTGCTTCCAGGTGCGCTCTCTTCTACAAACTAGTTATTTCCATTTAGGTTTTTTAATTGAGAAGTTCCAGAGCATGGCGTCAATTTTAGTATCCTCTTACCCTCTGAGGAGCAGGTAGTGTTTATCATGCCCATTTTACACGGTACATAAACTGAATGCCCTAGAGATAAAAAGGAGTTCTGCCCCAGGTTATTTGACTCCTACTCGATTTTGTACGCGTAATGGATTTAATACAGGATCCGGCAAGGTCCCCACCGCCAAGCAAGCTTCTGCACACTGATTTGATCACATGTACACGAGTCAGAGATGGGGATGGTTATTTCCTAGTAAAGAAATACTCTGTTAGGTGTTTCTTTTTCTTTTTTTCCTTCGAGGTTGCTAAGAGTTTGAATTGCACCAGAAGGGTAATTTTTCATACAAGGCAAAGCAACTTAAAACTGAGTGGTGCTGTGTAAAAATATTTTAAATCTGGGGGGTGTTCTAAATTAGAGAACCTTATTTTTGCTTGCATCAGTGGATTTCAGCAGTATTTTTTAATTTGCATTGAAATAATAGATATAAAGCAAATAAAAAGGAAGCATAATGCATTTTGGTCACAAGTTACGACTTTGTTTTGGAAGATTTTTACTTTAAATTTAGTAGGAAGTTTGAAAATGTAAACATCATTTCTTCCTTAATTATAATAACTTGAAGAAGGGAATGTAGGTGTTCATGGAGAGGATTAGATGGTATTTGAGAGGAACCTCTTGAATGATGTCAAGGCTTGGGGAACTCGAGAGAATGGTTAGGTTATGTTAAATTTATTAGTCATCAAGAATATGGAAATGTCTTATGAATTACTGAATAGAACTGTTTTAATTGTGAAGTTATCCCTTGTTTTCATGGTAAAGACATCTGTTGCATGTAACATGTATGTTTGATACTTGTGTAGCATATAAGGCATTCCTTACACACGCTTTGTCACCTAGCTCTGCTTCTGTTTATGTTTCTACATTAATGCCTTCACTTAATTTTTCTCTCCTGCCAAAATAAAATTTCTAGCACCCAAAGAAAAATTTCCATAAAGAAACCTTTTCATCTGTTAATTTGTACAGAAAATTAGTCCTTTCTTTGGATGGTCACAACTTTCTTGAAGTGTGGGAAATCGAAAAGAGATTTAGGCTATTTATAAAGTAGTTGTTTGTGTTCCTACGATCTGTCCTTTAAAAAAATTAATTACGTTAATGACTTCCACTAGATGGTGCACTAGGTGCTTCCGCTAGGTGCTGCTTATTGGAGATTTCAATCAGATTTTTTTTTTCTTATAGCAGTTCACTGACAAAGGTACAAATGTACTACAAGTATTTCTGTTGTAATTGCAGTTTAGAGAGAACTGCAATCAGTGATTTAAGTCAGTTTTATTAAATGAGATTGTTTGGATGGAAGGAAATGACAGCTAATTTAAAGTGAAGGAAATTGTCAGTAATTTTGGAAATAATTTCTACTAAAAAGGCTCTTTGATTCTCCTTGCAGTCAGGAACCCAGACTAGAGTGCAGATTTATTGGTCCTTATTGGGCATGTAAAAATTTTTTTTCTTGAATGCACATTTATATCTTTCTAATCTTTTAGGAGAGCGTGGGTATGACCCTACTTCACTTATGCACCCTGCTGGTGGTGGGAGCTGCTGCTCAAGCTTGTTTATTCCAAAGATAGTTTACAGAAGGGAAATGAGAAAACATAGCTGTTACTTTGATAAAAGCAGTGCTCGTTTTAGGTACAGAAATGGTGATGTTAGTGGAGAATAAGGAGTAGTTAGGATGATCGCATTTTGTGAGATGTTTTGCAGAAAGCACTGGACTTTTAAAAGAAGAGTGTACTTGGGAAGGTCTTTAGGTGGTTGGTGTATGTTTATTTTAGTTCCACTGAACAGTGTGTGGGGAGGAGAACTTCGGTAAATCCTTTCTTGGAACCAACTGTGGTCCTCAGGGAATTTGATGGTAATTGGGAGGGGGAAAATAAATAGGTGTCATTCCTTCTAGGAAGGTAGCTCCGGGTAGTGCTGCCAGCCTTTGAATGAGTGTGAACAGGAAAAAGTGGGTGGTTATAAGCAGCCAAACAGATTAAAATCTTGCCTGAGCGTGGGCTTCCCAGTATTTCTGTGCCCTTGAGAACCAAGCCAGTAAGCATTCTAACTCAGGTTTATTGCCATCCTGTGGTCCAGTCTGGGGCTAGTTACCTATTCTATCATCAAGTTTATTTTTAATGAAGTAAGTAGAATGCCGAACTTGATAAAATGACCTGAGTATGTAAGTGGATAGCTTAAAAGAGTATTTTGGCACATGGTATGTTCTCATTCTGGTAGGTGTTTGAATATACTCATGTCTAATACTCTTCTGCTCTCTAAAAAGGCTTTACTAGAAATAGGCAAACTTGAATATACATGGTTCTCTGTCGCTCCAGATTGAGAACTTGAGTTTGGGGGAGGAAATAAAGCTCTTGGTCTTTGAAAAGAGGACGTCAGGTAGAATGCTGTAAAGGGCTGGTCTAGGTAAGAGACAGAAACAACTTTTTGCTGGTAAAAGCATATGGTTAGCTTTACTCATGATAAAAACATGCTTTTTGAAAGATAGTCCTATATATGTTTACTGAAAGCAGTTTGAATCTTGAGGGATATTTCTGAGTGTTGTACAGTTTTTTTTTTTTGACAATTGGAAGTTTGTTGAAGTGATTCTGTGAAAACTTGAAGTTGAACCAGGGATAAAAGGGATTATGGAACTATGGGCCAAGATTATTAAGCTTCTACTACTGATATTTAGAACATATTTTCCTCTTCCTAATATGGCTCTGGTTTAGCTTCTGGACATTCTGTTTGGATCTCTGTGTTCTTTTTGTATTTTGAATTTAGCTCAGTTCCTGGTAAGATCCATCAGTGTAGACTTCTTTTTTTGGATGATCTAGTCAGGATATAGAGTAGGTGTTTTGGCAAGTTTAGGAGGAGTTGCTCTAATGTCATCAATGAAGAAATGAAGTAATACTATTTTGATGTGTTTAGAGACATTTTGAATAGGATCAAAATTTTACATTTTGGAATTTTCAAAATGGTATTCATTTAATATGCATACAATTAAGTTGAATATGAAAAGTTTAGATCAGTGCTTCTCAGACTTCAGCCTACCTCCCAGTCTGCTGGAGAGTGCTTTAAAAGTTAGGTTGCTGATTCAGTAGATCTGAGGATGGGCCCTGAGATTTGTATTTTTAATAAATTCCATGGGAACAGTGATGCTGCTGGTGCAGGACCACACTATGAAAACCACTGAGAAGGTTCCAGGGGAAATGAGTGCACTTAAGAATACAGGCTTTGAAGTTTGAAAGACTTAGATTTGCATCTCTGCTCTTTCACTTACTAAATCTTTGACTTTAGGCATGTTTCTTTCCTCTATTTTCTCATTTCTAAACTGGAAATAAAATAATATTATGTTGCTGTGAGTATTCAATTAACACAAACGTGTGTAAAAGCTTGTAGAATAGTGTCTAGCAGGATGCAAGCATGCAAAAAATGTTGGCCTCCACTCAATGAGTGCATGAAATAAATAGGATCACGAATCTTACAAAGGGGAGGTGGCTTTTCAAAGACAAACTATAATATTTATCTCCAGTTCCTTACTCTATGCTGTGAGAAAGATACACAACTACTCAATTTCTACTTAGCAAATGAAGCAGAAGTTTGTGGATCCTAGTAATTTTCCAGACACATTGTTTAGAGACAGAATATTCACAAGGGTGGTGCCCTAAAAGGTTGAATTCTTTGGTCAAAATATGTTGGATTCACACAGTAATCATTGTAGTCCACACTTGATACAACAGAAGTTGTAAATGTTGTTTCTGGGAGTTTAGTTACAGGAAATACCTGAAGTCATCTTCAGAACACAGTCTTACCTGTGTTGTGGTAACTTTGTAATTCATGACCCTGACTGCAGTTCTTGGAG